ACTTTTAAGAGGTCACTACCGTAATATGCCGTACCGCCACTATGACGACGCCGACAGTCCACTTTTAGACGGCGTGAACCAAAAAGGGTCGAGCGACTCAAAGGCGTAATTCAAAAGACATATCCAAGTGTGAGTATCACTACATGTATACTAATATGAAATTATTAACAATTAATACTAATTTTGCTGTACGTTAAATATTAATCTATTTTTTCAAATTTATTTTTAACAACAATACGTTTTCAAAATTACAGTCACTAATTTTAGATCGCTTTTTAGTGTATATGTTACGGACAAAGTGGGGTAGTCGGGCATTGTGCAACAATAGCCGGGCATTGTGCACAGTGCCCATCAGTTTCGGGTAAAGTATTCAGTTAGTAATAATTGTTTACTATGACCGGTCATTCTATAACAATGTCTGGGCAATTTGGATTGCCCGACATACTTTTGGTCAATGTAAAAATTTACTGTATAATATATGTCGGTGCCGCGGAGACGACCTAAGGACGATACCGCGTCGTCTCGTAATTAAGATATTATATACCTAACTCACAATGACAAAATATAACGATTATTAACAATACAAAGATAAAATATAAATATGATAGAAAAATAACAGACGACGCGTATGAGTGTATGTGTGTGTGTGTATGTGTGGCAGGTGTGTGATAGGTGCACGTCTCATATCACTGATGATCGATCAGACTCTGGGTGCAAACACTCCTTTAGTTATCTTATCGACCACCTATCTTTATTATTACTCTAGCTGTTATAATTTGGAAAGTTCGACACAATTCCAACTTGGGCGGTCAAGGATATAATAGATGTGGTTGTACGCAGAAGTGTAAAACAAAAAAATGCAAATGTAAAGCAGCAGGTAAACTATGTAATTCTAAGTGCCACAGTAGCAATCCGTGCTCAAATAAATAAATATGTATACTAATATTCATCTAATAAATAATAAATAAATAAATAAATTTAATATTTATTATTATATTGTATTAAATTTATTTAATTGTATTGTTTTGAACATGGTAGCATACATTGCCCTTCAAGGATTCGGTCATTGTACACAATGTCCGAGCAATGTGTTTTATTTTCACTTTAACCACTAAAATTGGGCATTGTACACAATGTCTGGGCACTGTGCACAATGCCCAACTACCTCACCTTGTCCGTAACATATACACTACGGTAAATAAGGCTATAGACAATAATCAAAAAGCCAATATTTTTTACCCACATCGGGGTTATACAGGGATCATTTTATATTATATTATTGCTGTATACACCACACCAGAAATCCACATTCTTATCGATGTCAGTCTTGTTGTGCCATTAGTCATTGCATTAATCTCTTCTTTCGTCTTAGCGGTACCCACTTGTTGCTATTTCGCCGTATGTTCTTGCGCAGGTGCATATACGCCTTGTGTGGTGTACCCTACTTGAAAATCTTTTATTAGTGTATTGTAAGGAATTCGATGCCGTCGGTCTATCAGAAACTGCACAAATCTGAGATATAATAATAATTATTATTAATTATTTAATTGTAATAATTTATCATCTTCATCGTCACAGACGGCTCATATTCGTTTATCGCGGCTAGTACAGACATGTCATTATAACGAATATGATGTGTAAAGTAAATTAAGTTAATTAGATTTCACCCCGATTAGCAATTTTAAGAAAAACAACCATAATATTATAACATTGCCGTTTGCTGCAAAATCATACATTTTCAAGAAGACACTTCATACCCACTTTTAAGGGGTTTATATAGGCAATTAAATTTTACCTAATATCGGATATTCTGAAATTGTTTTATTCAATTACCACTTAAATTCATTTTAGAAATAATTAAGCAAACAGAAACTATTTTACAAAACCTGTGCATACATAGTATCTGCAATCATTAATATATGTAATTTTTAAACTAGTTAAAAGTTAATTTAAAGTATTTTCTGGTGAATATTATACTTAATTTAAATGAATAGAAGTATGGCTTACACAATTGGGAAATGGTGTGAACTAAAATAAAAATAAATGTACTAAAAAATCCCATATCAATGAAGAAGTCACTTATATTATATTGTATTATTAGCTGAAAGTTGTTTATTTTATAACTATAAACGATTTGACTTTATCTATTAAAATATAAGTATTAATTGCAAAAAATGTAACACTATATATAAATTATGTTATTAACTAAGAATTTATTCAATAATGCTTAATAGTTCATAATAATGATAACAGATAATTATCATAGATAATAGTAATAACTAATGGCCTATTAGCTGATGTTCCTAGGATGAATAGTAAAAACAAAGTAGGTCCATTGGTGTATATTTCTCTTGTATTATATTTGTTCAACGAACTAATATTAAAGATACTGCCGCCTGTTTTGTGTTGACTTATTGTATTATTAATTATTATTTTTATAGTTGTGTTATTTTTGTATAAATGGATTATATATTTATATGTATATCTAAAACTGATGTATTTTTTCTGTAGGTTCTATATTATATCATTAATTTCTTAACGACCCAATATAAAACTGAAATGTATAATTATAAATTATAAACTTATAACACAATATTTTATGTATACATGTGTTCATTTTTATATTTAATTTTTTTCTGGGCTTTTTTTTGCGGTTCACAAATTATAATAATGGTATCCTCCAAAAAAAATTGCAAAAAAAAAACAGCCAGCTGAAAAAAACAATAAAGCTATAGGTTTTATACTTTATATAAAGTGTAGTGAAAGTATATAAACGTCTAAAATTCGGATACCTATAAATATATACACATCATATATTATTCACATTAAGATTAATAGAATAATATTTCAAATACCTACACATATACATATCACACTATCGCTTTTTTGGGGTATAATCCATTATAATATACATTTATCGATATTTCAATATTGTATAAGTTGCGTGTAGTTGTGATGTCCGATTGCATATCAATATTTTCTTCTGTAAGTTAATATATTTTCCATATTATATGAAAGGAATGTAGAAGTGTTGAAGGTAAAAAGTTTGGTTAAATAATGTTTAGTTCTAGCCGTTTAACACTACCTATATGTTATGATAGCGAATTCAACTTGATGTACATTTAAGTAATAAAGCTATTGTAGTTGCAATCGCTATTATTTAATTAACACAATTTTAAAAAAGTTGACTGAATAATAACACATAAAATATATATATACCTTTTGGCTATTATTACCTATATATTTTTCATAACCCGGAACATAATTTAATATACAACCTTGATATAACCCTATCAAGGGTGGATCCGGGGGGGGGGAAAGTGTCTTTCTTGTTCACAAAAAAAATAAATATATTTTATGTATACTTTAATCATATAATTCATAATAAATTGGATAAGTTATCGATGCGTCCTACATTCAACATCGGTAGTTCATAATATATTTTACCTCATTTCATTGTTTGAAAAAATAGAATGGTTCAATTTTGATGATTTCATTAATAAATTCATAGATAGCGCTATGTATTCTTTATTGTAAAATATACATTAATATGTTATGAATTTATGATAATATTTTATACCTACAATATGTTGTAATATTGAAATTGTAACAGTGTATAACAACTATAACTAATTATTTATTATTATTATTATTATTAATTAAATAATGTTCGATACTTGGACAGATACCAGAAAGTGTTCACAAAGGGTACTTTTAAATGAAATATGTTGCAAACCTAATAAATATAAATGCTGGTATTTATTCTAAATATGACTCAAAATAATTTTATTTTTTCATACAATATTTTTCCTATTTACTATAACTTTTTCAAAATAATAATAATTTCATTTGTTTAATGCAATAGTCTAACCATTCAGGTTGCTTTTTTTGGTTTTCTTGTCATCTTCGATGTCAGATTTAACACTAGCAGTGGACTTTTGGATAGCTTCATCGGTCAACCGAAATGAGTCCATTAATAAATTAGTACCATGTTCGATAGCCTCAGTGGCTTCCTTGTTCCATTCAACGATCGGGTTTTGGATCATGGTCTTAAAATTTGAATGATCGTCAAGCATGACTTGTGTTCTCCCAGCCATTAGATCCTCCAAATGATGTTTCATAACTCGAAATGTTTCCAGTTTTTGGCAAACAGCAGACTAAAATATAAACGATAAATGTTTGATTTAATGCTTACGCGTTAGAAGCAACAACCTATATAATACATACCTACCTAGTCAAATATTTTATCTTACAAATGTATTACGATCCGTTTATCGTAGAGACCTGATTATAAGTTATTACTATCTGCAGATGGTCTTATAACATACATGTAAGACACTACTAATTAAATACTAAACCACATAATTATTTGATTATTTAAACATTTTATTTTTATTACTGTTTGGCGATTCCCTCCCCCCTCCTCACTGCGTGAAAGTAATAATTATTGAAGTTATAATGATATACTTATAGTGAAGGGAATGTAATGCTCCATGGGAATAAGGATAAATGTTCAAGGCTCTTGTCCCAGTTTTATTTTGATCGTCAAAAAAAATGTAAGTATTTGAATCTTTTTAAATTAGTATCATACACTATAGATATCGGACATTATACAAATCTGTAAAGACCCGTTACTTTCATTAATAAGTGATACAATTAATAATGTTATTAATGGAATTACTCTAATCGATATTCACACAAAACAGTTACAAAATTCCTTTACCTTTCCAATGACCAAATTGAAAAAAAAAACAGTAAACAAGTTATAAAATGTTTACCGTTATTAATGTAGTCTGATAATAGTCAAAAATGCATATCCCCCTCGACCCTTTTATTAAAGCTGATCACACCACTGCTATCCTGCAATACGTATGGATAACATCCATGCATACGTGTAACAAACATTCGTCCGCAATTTGTAATTTTGTGGTTGAACAATATTAATCATCATGTTCCCTTAATAGTTGATATTTTGGTGTAATTAAAGAGCATAAGACAAATAAGATCATATATTATTGTACTATATTATCATGTATAATTAAAGCTAATGTATAAAATGGGCATTTGATCAAAATAGTTGTACAATTCACTTAAGGTAAATAATTTGTTAATTGTGGTAGATAAACCGGTACGTTATTTTAAATTGAACTGCATACTATAATGTATACTTAAAGGTAATATTATGTAATATTGATATGCATCTGCGATTGGTGCATCATTGGTATGGGATTGGTTGCGATTGGAAAATTCATTTCCATTCGTATAAACATTATGAGGCGATGTCTAAACAGTAATTAATAATTTGTACCACCATATTATTATCGTTAGGTATAAGCCGTGTCTAAATAATAATATACAACCAAAGTATAATACGAGTGGAATATTACATTCACCGTGGGTATGCTATAGGAATTTAAAGCTAAGTCACAGATATTCACAAAAATAATATGGTATTTTACAAAAATATTGTAAAACAGTATATTATTAATAATTATTAATTAAAAATCACAATGTACATTTAGTTCAATTATTAGTCGACGGACAATGTCTTGGTATAAAATGATATTATAATAGTACCAATATAAAATATGATGACGTATAATCTCGATCAATGTTATGTAACGTGAAATAATTAATATTATAATGTTATTATGATTATCATTGTTGGTTCGGCCGTCGCTGCGGCTTTTGTTGTTGCTGGGCCTTGTCGACAGCCGCCTTGGCCCGGTCGGCCGTCTCGTTGATGACGTCGGACGCGTACTCGAACACCGCCTTGCCCTCCGAGCCGACGGCCCGGAGCAGGCTGTCTAGTGCGTTGCTGATCCTCCGGTCGCCGCCGACGTCGTCCCGGTCGTCGCCGCTGACCGTGCGCCGTATGTCGCTCACGGTCGACTGCAGTTTGTGTATGGTCTCGTCCATCACCTTCTTGGCCGCGGCCACGGTGCGTCCTTTGGTCTCCTGCAGGCGCCCCAGCGCGTGGTCACCCGACGGCAGTTTCTTCTCCGTCACGTGCAACCCGCCAGCGGCGCCGCCGACTTCCGACACGGGCTTGGTGACGCTCGGCTGGAGGCGGCTCAGCACGGACACAGTTTTCCCCGCCGCGGCCCCCGCCCCGTCGAGCGTCTCGGACGCCTGCATTTTGACGCTGTCCATTACGCCCGACACTCGGTCCATCAACGACGGTGCCAACGTAACGGCCTCACCAACGTCCACGACACTGCCTCCAACACCGCCGTCGACGCCTTCGTCATCGTTCCCGCTGGCGGACGCGGCCGTCGCATTCTAAGGAAAAAACCATAACAGTAGTGCCACAACTACGTTTTGTGGGCCTCGGTGCGAAAAATCATTGGGAGGCCCCATTGTCATTATATACATTACAAAATCTTATTTTTATCAGATCAAAAATATTTTACGATGTTAATGGCACATTCAATAATCTTAAATCAAAATTTATGTTTGATATCTGATCTGAGCGATGAATCTATTGGGGTTTCAATGTGTGTGTGAGGGTGGATTTTTTGTGTCTGTCTTCACCTCTTTGAGTTGTATAACAATGTTTCAATATTCAACTCTGAGGGTAGTTTCTGGAAGTAAATCAGACCTAGTCGTTACTTTTGGGTGCTGTGCCATAATAAAATGCTAAGCCGTGCACCAAAGCCCACCAATTTTTGGTCGGCTTACATCTTTTTTCGTGCAAGCGATAAATCACAATTTTAGGTCTCTACTGGGATAGATTATTGTCTTTAAAGTTACTTTAAAGATGCGTCGTTTTTGGACATATTATTAAAAATTTGATCAGATCCATAGTGTTCAACACGAAACAATTGATATGAGCTCATTAAAGCTCTCGTGCAAAATTGCTTAACAAAAAAATTGTCAACGTTTTTAGATTATGAGAGAAATGATGAACTTATAGATTTCACAATAATTTGTATTTTTTTCCGTCCATCATCGCCATTTATGACATTTAAATTTGAAGTAAACTTAAGATATAGTTTTTGGTAGAAAACTGGATCTAATTTAATCTTAGGGGAACAAAATTTAAAAGTAATGAACCTACTTGAGGTACTTGACCTACTTTTGAAAACAACAGAGAAAATAAAATTTAGAAAAAACAGACATTTATACGCAAACTAAAAAGTATTCAACAAAATTGATTTTGTGTTTTTGGTGTAACTCAAAAGCAATTGACCCTAAATATTTGAACTTTTTGTCAAATGTTTATAAAGTGGAACCTCGATAAATCGAAATTCAACGGAAATGCAATTTTTTCTACTTACCGAGGTTTTAGACTTACCAAGGTTTTAGAAAAAATTCAACTTAAAGAGTTTTGAAAATGTATGTAGGTAGGTATTAAAGTTTTTAATTATTATACACATACAGTATAAAAAAATGTAATTATATAAGTTACTTAAATAACAAAAAGTATTACAAAAAAAAATACATTAAAGGATTTATTTTATCATTGTATTCAAATTTGACACATACATTTACAGTGACTTACTCAATGACGAGGTACAAACTCGAGTATTCTTAGTGTACAGCAGAGAGGTTACCTATAGCTACTGTTTCTATTTTTAAAATCAAATTTATAATATAATCATTTACAAACGAGGTTACTTACGACGAGGCGTATCTGCCTATTATATACCTATATATTCCAGATGATATAAATATGACAAATTACTAATTTTGATTACAAATGTTCATACACTTCTCAAGACGATTTAAATGTCTAAAAAATAATGTATTTGCAAATCAACTCTATCGGTAATTGATATTGTTTAGATACTGTTTTCAGGTACTTTTAACATATTATTTACAGCCTTGATAGAAATTAATAGTCAATAAATGGTGGTAAACGTTAGTGGTGTTTTTTACTGTTATTGTATTTCAATGCGTAACTTATCGTTGCTTGTACATATAATATATACCTGTGAAAAAAGCCTTGACCAACTAGTATTATTTGTGGTTAAAAATATTTTCATAAATTCATCAGAAATATTAAAATGCCTATTAATAGTAATTCGTATAGCATAGACTCCAATATTAAAAATTTTTATAAATCCATTAATAAAAAATCTTAACATGTAGGTATAGGTATTGCATAATATATTTACTAGCACTAAACCGTATCAAATAACTTATACATAAATATTCAATATTGATAATTTTGTTTAATATTAATTAATTTCATCATATAATAAACATAAAAATAATTCATAAGTCAATATGATTGAAATGTGGCTAAAAGTATTCATATTTTTTAGTCAATTATATTTTCAAACATCACTCTCAATATATGCATAACAACGTTTTTGACTTTTGTTATTTAATTTCAACAATGTATTGTATTTGATCACACGGCTCAATAAAAAATGATAACCAACAACTATTGTTAAGTTGTATTGTCGAACTGAGAACATTTTAGTGACCGTATAAGGGACAATAATTCTATACTCAATTGATTTGTTTGTCATCGGTTTGTCGAACATGATTGTCCTTAATTGAATATAAACGTGCTACAGACGCAACTACGGAAGCCCCCTTTATTCAGTTGTTGCGTTTGTATGTATTGTATACTCTCAAAATATGATAAGTGATAACCTTCTTGCCATACACGATGTTTTAACTTTGCGATTTTGAATCAGAAATCGTTTCACGGTTGTATAGTCGTACTCTATCATCGTTGACAATATTCCAAAAACGCGAACCTGACAATAAATACCTAAACAAACATTTTAATCAACCCCGCTGCTACCTGGTAACACGCGCGGTTAGAACCAACCGTTAAATATCAAATATATCATGGTAGTACTATTTACTATTATTCTACCCAACCCACGTTATCTATGTATAAACCAGAAGTATTTAAAAAGTGTCTGTATACATTGTATTGTAATTGTTGATAAGTATAACGCTCAATAAGAATAGAATGAAAAACATATACATAAAAAAAAAAATATAGTAAAATATTTTTTCATCAGGATTATTATATGCGATTGCATACTTGGCACAAACTATAGCTATATTATGCACGGTAATTTTACTTGTATAAATAAGGTATATAATATGAATAATAAAGTAATTTGAAGTTATGATATTATTATTTTTCTTCTTGAATGCTCTAGCTTAACAATACGTCAGTACAATTTCGTGATAATTTAACATTTTGGTTTCAAACAATCGTATATTAAATCGACAATAATATACCTAGTCCTTTGCATGTTTGTGTTTGACGAAAAAATATTGTTGACGTGAAACATAAGTTTCAATAATAATATAATCGTCGAGTGTTAGAGGTGCAGGTTATTTTTTATTGAACATTAATTGCAGTTAACTCAAAATCGAAGGTATACACTTTTTTTGAAATAAAATCTAACCATCGTCGTTGAATCCTTAACAGATAATAATAGTTATAATAATAATAAATAACAACTTAAAAAATAGTATTTAGATATTTCACGTTTTCGTCAAATGGTATTGACTATTTTTACAACAGACAATAATTTAAATACATGTAGCTAATACAAACATAAACATTTGTGCGTAATACAATATATTATTATGATTCACACTATATAATATTGATTATTAGATCATGGTCAACGTCCATCATAATATACAAATGGACATTGCAAACATTTCAACCCGAACAAATGGTTTCATTTCTACATCTAGAGCAACATGTGAGTCATTAGTCATGACATATTATATAATACTATATCGATAATACTGTCGATGAATGATTTGAGTAATCCGTCAGTGCAGTGTGAAGAAGGGCCTTCTTCCCTGCAGGATGTTCAATCGTTTCCTCATCGAACGCATTCTAGCCAGGTTTCTTCTCCTGTAGCCGTTCAGCACAGGGTTGAATCTTATCCTTCTCGCGCTTGCCAAAAAGGGTTTCGTTGTAATCAGCCTCGGTTTGAAAAGCAAATCCATCGTATGTTTTCCGATGGCCAATGCTTGCTGCAATACATTCTGTACCAGTGAAGATAGTTGCTGAACCGCCGAACTTTCTACTTGCTGCGAACAATATAATATAACGTCGTCATAACACAATAACGCCATGTGAATCGCACGTCACATCAACTTCTCGGAGCGGCGGCTCCATTTAAAACCTCCTTCGTCGACTAGACTAGACCTTGGAGTGTGCGTGCCTACCACTGAACTACCGCTGTACAACCGCATCCCTGTTATAATATAATGTGTTGGATATGAATACTGCAACACAGATGTACATCGACTAGTGCCACCAGCCTAACCTAACTCTACGATCAGATGGAAGAAAGTTTGAAAATCACAATTCTAGAAACACAACGTGTACAAAAGATCCAAATGCCGAATGTTATTCAATGGTGTGGTATCAAATGTATAGATTAAAACGGTTTCGCTAGATTATTACCGCAATGTGTAGTTCAACTATAATAATAAAGTGGCTCACACGGTGTAGTTAACGACGAAATCGAGTTTTGAGAACACACGACCCAGTTGTTCGTAGTTGGTACTCGGTTGCAGTTACGTAATATGATTAGTTTATTAAGAATGATTATCGTTATTCGTTTCATTGTGAAGTTATCACTACTGACCTACTAATTTGTGTTAAAGGCTAAAATTATAGATACTGGTGTAGATAAGTAAAAATAGCATCGACTAAAAAGTAATTTTCGAAGAAAATTCAGAATTTTCCAGAATCATAAAAACTTCTATCTAAGAAATAATTTATTTTTCGAAGATCGATTATTGGATGTAAGCACGAGCATTATACACAATTTATTAAATGAGATTAATCCTAAAACGAATTTTAATTAAATCTTGAGGAAATAGCTAACGTTCTAAAGTTTAAAATGCCTGGAATATTGTTATTTTAAGTAGGCATAAAAATTTATAGCTAATATTTTCGGAAATTTATTCAAATAAATAATTGAATTAAAAAAATTGACAATATCGCGTTATACACCTATGCAATTTGTTTAAAGTAAGAAATAATAATAACGTAGTAGGTATAGTAAATGTATATATTTGAAGTTTATAGCTTTGGGATTTTTCTGAATTTTAAAATAAAAAACTGAAATTAAATAGATATGGACTTATTAGTTTGTTTACTTTTGTAACCATATTGTAAGGTCTGGGTCTCCACCAGTCTCGATACACGAATATAAATATTAGCAGGTTAAGTGTATATTTAGTTAAAAGTTGTTAAATATAGACAGAACTCGTACCTTATCAAAGGCGTAGTTCATTACGATTAACTCAAGGCGCACTAGGAATTTTGTTTTTGTTTAAATTGCTCTACAAATTTCTGCGTTATCTCACGATATAATGTTACAATTACATAATACTATAAAGAAAATTGTAAAACTGTACTACGATAACAACGCATATTATTATAGATACATTTTATTTTCACGCACATAGACTATAGGTAATGAGTATGTGATACAAGTGTCCAATTATTATTAAATAAATTATGAAATATTATAGATACTGCAGTTTACAAAAAGCGAATACGTTAGTTGAATATGTACCTATATTATGTCTCTACGTTTCACTGTTTACCATACGACGACGGTCATATTTCGTACGCATGACTATTCTTCAGTGTGTTGTCTATAGATGACAAAAAGTGAAAAAAAGTGAAAAAGTGAAAAAAGTGAATTCATGATATATAATCTACGTAATATAATATTCACAGCATAGTGAATTGCTAAATTTTTTTATCTTGAACACTTTTCTTATTAGGCGTAATAAGAATATTTGCATTACAATTATAAACATAATATGAATGAACAACTAATATGTTATGCGATACAAGTTTCGGTACCTATCTACACAAACTCGGATTGATATTAACTCAGAAGCAACAAGTATGTTTAGGTCCTATCATTAAACGATACACTTTTCTAATCACAAGAAACTTAATGAATAATTCGATACTGCCGAACAAGAGATAGTCCAGGAATGTTACTAAAAGCTGACTTCAAATTTGAAAGTTTAAACTAAACAATTGTACAGAACTAATGGCCTATGCAGCCAGAGTTAATTTTGGATCAATACAAATTAAATAAAATTAAATAATTGAAAGCATTTGAATATCGTTTTTCGACACCGGGCTTTTTTAAATATGTTCTGTAGATGTTTATTTTAATAGTTCAAGATTTGTTTTTGTTATTTTGATTTTTACGAATAGGTACCTACTACAACTTAAGTATGAAAAAATGTATATTCTAATACTTTTTGCCGTTTTCCAAGGTTTAACATTAGTGTTTAATGATGCATTGATACTTTTCGAGATTTTTTTTAATACGTTATTGCTTTGTTATAATTATTATATTCAATTGTCCTTCAATATCTAAAAAAAAATATTTCATATGGGTACGTTATCGTTTATAATAATAATCCATGGTAAACGAAAATTCTATTAGTGGGCTCTTGAACTTTGAGGTAGATTTACTTTATCTTTTCTTATATGACAGGTTCAAAACCGTTAAAAATGAATGAAGTGTATAAATGTATAATAATTATTCATTTGGTTATTTTTGTGATACACCGCCAAAATATAATGGGATCGATATTAAAACGTTGTACAGTCTCGTTCAATTGGCATATGATATAGTTAAGACGAAACTCACAAACGTGAAATTTCGTATACAGCATAAATTGACGGTCATCAACTCATAAAACATTGTTGTAAATGAACACAAATATAATGCCATGAATTATGCAAAATTGTTATTCGTATTAGAATTCTGAGAAATAAATTTAATGGTTGTATTATGTAGAATTTCGCGTAGGTACCTACCTATACATGTAATTTTAATTCGTTTGCATCTTTTCACCATAAAATATTTAATGAGTTCGTAATAAATAATAATATTCCATCGTAGATAAAGACCGTCGAAAGAGAAAATTCAGAAAAATAATGTATATAAATAGTGAGTATAACACAATAGGTGTTATTTTTATTGTAATTTTTAGTTGCGCTTACGTGTAGGACGGACATGGTTAAGGCGATCACCAGGAAACCACTCAGCAAACGACGGGAAGCGATCATAGTTTTTTTTCTTCTCCTGAGGACGGGTGTAAAAACAATAAAACCAAATATATTATTAATTCATTTACGTTACCTATCAACCGTGCGTGTCGACTGAAGACTAAACAGATCGTTTTCTGACCGTGTACGGTATTTGATGGATTTCGTTATAATATTATAATATTATATAGATTAGGTACTTTACGCGTCCATCGTCATTCGACTATCTGACGGGATAAGATAAAACAAACAAAAAAAAAACAACAAACGATTTATCACTATATAATAGTATGTATATCATACCGATATAACATGTTGTTTGTTAAACAATGTCCAATTGTTATGTTGTTTGTACGGCGATTTCAACAGTGTCTGGTACCATATTGATTGTGTGAACTATATGACCAATGCTGGTGTGATAATATATGTACGTATTGTGATTTGTGGAGAAATGTGTAGAAATAACTATGATTATTGCACTCTGATCAAACATTTTTTTTTTCATACAATGTGCAACAATATAATTGAAAGTGTACGCGAAAAACAACATTATAACATAATTTTATCAAGGATTTAAGTATAACTACACACCAATACCCGATGTTTATAATTTATGCTTACAATATAATATAATGTACCAACCGCGAGTGCACTAATTGGCAATACCTAATTGCATTGTTGTTTTATGCACTTATGTATTATGTTTTTTAAACAATTATTATTGTGCAGTTCAAACTTTAAAAATTGAAATAATTATTAACTCGCCAAGTGACGAGTTCTTCTAGCAGTTCTAGGTACTGATAACCTAGTGCACATTTAAGTTTTTTTTGAATTGTTAAAGAAAATTCATATTTAATTGAAATAACAGTTTTAAAAAATTCTATTGTTTTATTTTATTATATTGTAAGAACACACTGTACACGTTGTGTTCTTGGAATTTGTTCATCGACCTCATTCGTAAATATTGTATTATGTATACAGCAATTATTCTCTGTAGTGAAATGTGAAATGTTTATTGTGTCTTGACAGTTGTTTAGCTTGACACAGGACATACAAACCATAATTAATGATGATTTTTATGAAATTCTTAATATTTTTGACAAATATAATGTATGTTTATACATTTTTTAATCCAGTTTATTCAATATACATTCATAAGAAATAGAGAGTTTATTCAGTTCATTTAAAAATTATTTAAAAATTAATATCCTAGTGATTATTTTATTTATACATCCTCGATAATGCTAAACATTATAGTATGGGATCGCACTACCGGACGAAATAATTAAAATAATATTTATGAGTGATGCATAGGTATTGTTTTCAATTGCATAATATTACATAGTGACAGCAATTTTTTTTTAAGAAAAAGATTGTTAACTGATTTATAACATTTGTTTCTACCAATTTAATGTACTCGGTACATCAGTGGCACTGAATTCTTAGGTGTTAAAAGTGGGGTGAAAACCAAATTACTCAGAAGTTTTTTTTTTATTGAGTGGGTAGGTCGCCGAGTGGTTATAAGTGATTTATGGTATTTTAACATGATTAGATGACACTTAAGAATAATGCCATAAGTATATAGTATAATAATAGTATGGCAGGCTACAAAAATTATTTTTAAATTGTTGAGGGTTATCTAGCATTTTTTTTAGAGCATGAAATGTGGATATGGATCGGCGCCACTGGATGTAAATTTTAATGTACCTTAAAGTCCTTTTATAGAAACAGCATAATTCAAATAAATAAATTTGGCTTTTAAATTGAGTGAACAAAAGCGAAGTATAATGATTGCACAATAATAAATAAACTAAATTATTGAAATAATACGTACGGATATAAACAAAATACACTTCAAATTTGTAGATATCGAAATTCTAATTAGTCTGTAGACTATCTTACAGGACTTTAGACTTTCTTGTTTCTTGTATGGCTATTAATATTATGACGTAATACGAAATGAGTCATACATTAACTTTTAGTTGTTTGTGCAGATTTGTAGGACACAATATCCATTTTGTACATATTTTGCATGTATTATTATGGAACGTTTTCGTCCATGTTAACGGTTCGTTCAAAAACAAAAGGTCTATGCTGAAATACAAAAACTACTTTTGAATTTTAAATAGAAATAAATACGTAAATATATTTTGTTGAAAAAAATCTTGCAATATTATATCAAATTTAAAGAATACGCATATTATAGTAATAGTATAAAACTAAATAGAGAGTAATATTAATATTAATAATATTGACAATATTAATAGTATTAACATTGTCTGTTTATGCTTATCGTGCTAACAGATAATACGTTTAAATAATACGTTTAAATTTACTGGAGATGTATTATATATAAGACTTAAAAATGGAAAACGGACCACCGCAGAACGCGTGTTGCACGTTTACAAGACGATCACTTAATATGTATAAACACATCTGTCTAAATGTCTTAATTGGTTACAAATGTCTAATTATATTGTAACACGCGTTCATGGCGGCGTCGACGGATGCTTGAGGAAGCTCACTGTTTAATACATGAAAAATGTCATATGATTATTGTACGATATAATAAATAATTATAATGTATGAAGTGTGATCGGGGAGATGTCGCATATATGACGGATCATCAATTGAGCTTTTCGGATTTCATGAAGTTCTGGGTCTTGTCCACGACAGCGTCCTTGGCCTTGTTGCCTGCGTCCTTGACGTGCTCCTCCGACGATGACTCCGGATGTCTGGGCTCGTCCTCCTCAGAGCTGGCTTTGTTGAATGTGGTCTTGACCTTGTCGATGACGCCGTTCACCAGCTTCTTGGTGCCGGCATACGCCTCCTTGCGTTTCTCGTTCAGGTTGTCCAGCGTGTCCGACGCTCCCTCCTTGACGCTGGTCACGAAACCCTTAAACTTGTCCTTGAACGAGCTGGGCGATGTAGTCTCCGGCGCGTCGGCGGGTCCGACCGAATGCTGGTGCACGTCCTCTCCTTGTTGTTGTTGACTCACATCGGCCGCGGCCAACTACACAAAACAACAAATCAACCTCATAGATACACTGGTCATATATAGATAACACTCATGTGACGGACGTGGTGCTCGTCGTACACATTAATCATTATTGTTATTGTTATTTATAAATGGGTACAACATCACGCATACGGCCCATATACCTGCAGTAATAATACACAGGGTCACGTGCTTATTTATACTGTCATCTACGTACGTTTCACCGGATTTATTTTCGCGAGGAGTAAGCGTGATTCTCACCCGGAGGTGGCAAAATATTTTTAAAATATTTTAGTTTGAGAAAACGATATATACTATATATGTATTAATTTTTTTGAAGACGATTCTTTATGATTGTAAAATGGTTTTGTAATCAATTTATTTATTGTTAGAATAACATATCATTACAAGTTGGACAAAAAAAATCAATTACATTTTAGAAGGAAAACGTGAAAATTCTGAGTACAGTCCAGTGTGTAACCTACACGTATTAATATATTTATTATAATTTATAACTCACATACATATAATATAGACACCTGCAATTGTAGTAACCAGTATTATTAGGTGATTATCATAGGCACCTACGTAGAGAAAATAAACTAAATTATAGCATATAATATTACTGGATATAGTGTTAATCAATGTGGTTACTGTAAGAAGTAAGTGCATGATATTAGATGCGTATAAGACGTGCGATAGTTACATTGAAGGTTTTCTAGTATCATTACAATATTTTATTAGTGAGTTCCACATAATATACGTGTTGAATCTCAACGGCTATAAGAGCGTCGCTGTTCGACGCGTGTGAAAACTGAAAATCGTCAATGTTTTGCCCATTTGCAGTTATGGTATTGGCATTCACGGCTTGTATTCAGTAAACATACTATAAACTGTTCTAATATACTTTTTCTCCGGTTGCATCTTTTATAGTACTGTGATAAGAACTATTAGAACACCACGACGTCTTGAATTGAAAACGCATAAACCTAACTTACCTATAACTTCATTTTGACTTTTGTATAATATATGCAGCAATGTTGTTTACTCACATTGTTATTACATAGAATCTATGTATATTATTATAGATCATTAATAGTATTATGTGTAATTCACTTAATATGTTTTATATGATAAACATTTGATATAAATTATTATAATTTTATTTAAGTATTAATTATATTCAGACAGAGAAAATACAAATTAATCTACGTTTTACTCATGATTTAAGTACCTACTGAATGGCTCATTTTATAGTGTTAGTGGATGGTTAAAAGTGATTATTATTATTTAGTATCTACATAAAATTATCGTTGATACATCAAGCTGCATTATGGAACAGTGTAAATATTTTTATACAGTATCACTTTTTTTTTCATTAGCATCAAAGCAGTCAAGTAGTATCCCGGTATTCGTTTTAAATATTATGATGTACGCATGAGTTGAGTTAGGGAACGGTGTGGTTCACTAATACACTATTATACAGTATCATAGAAGTTAGTGAGTTAGTGAGTCGTATTTCTTTGTTATACAATTATTGATTAAAAGAAATAAATTAGCATAATCTATTACAATATAAAATATTAAAATGCACTAAATTATTCACCAAAATTCTAAAACTAACTATATATTCAACGTGCAACGCTTTTATTTTACTGTAGATGTATTGACTCTTATGAAATGGTTTTTTTTTTGTATAATATTTATAAGCATAAATTAGACTATCTGAAGATAAAGATTTTATATTGTTCTCCGTGAGACTTTTATTTAGTTACATATTTGAATCATAGTTTAGATTAAAGCTACAAGGAATGTATATTGTTTTTTTATGATTGTGTAGATACACTTTTTTTACATGACTAGTGCACCAATCTTTGGATTGGAGTGTTATTTTATCATAAACAATTAATATTAAAATAATGCGAATACAAATTTGTATAATTGGTATAGGATTATACTTAAATTCATTTTATTGATAGTTATTTAATAATTACTATTAATTTATTGGGTCTACTATGTATATTATAAATATAAATTTATTGTAGTATATAATAGAAGGCCATTTAAGAGCTTCGTAGCCGACGCATTTTTAGTACAAAGTCCTTATGGTCAACAGAAAAGCTCTCATGTCTCAAGGAAATGTGTAATAGCCAGATTTCGATAATATTTTTTTTTTATCTGACAGAAAAAGTTATTAAGTTTTCAGAAGTTAGAATAAATAAATAATCACAATAACTGTTGATAATTTTGAAATGTATTTTAAAATGTGCAGACGTTATATTGTAAAGTTAATACAAAACAGTTTAAAAATAGATAGGTACTACTGTACTAGCTGAATACAAATTTCGTTTCAAATATATAAAAATATTATCTTAATCGGACTATTCTATGAAATACGAGGCATGATCGCTTTTCTAGTTAAGTCTTTATTAAACGTTGAATGAGTTCAATTATATTTTTTTCTGTGCGGCCTGTGGTATGACCATTGGTCGGTTAACAGTGTAACTAGAAATTGCTTGCTGTTTTACCCCTTAATAAATGGTTGACATCCTTAATATTATTGAAGCTGTATTTTTTATTTTTAAGCCTTTTCTTATCAGGTTAAAAATTGATTAAGTTAAATCATATTAAATGTAATAATAATATTTCCTCTCATAAGATATAAAAAAACAAAAAAACCAATTATTAATTATTCGCAAATGATAACATTTTGAAATCTTTGTCAGTACGATTTTACCATCACATTAATACATTATACGTAATATACCCATCTATCATAATTATGCTGTATTGCACTTGATTATTAGTGGATTTGATCTATTTTACTAAAAATGTTGTAAAAAATATATTATTATTATTAAACACATTATATGCGTAAAAAACTGTCTGAGCATCTGAGTTGTAACCGTTCCCGTTGTAGGTACCTATAGGTACCTGATACACTAAATACTTTTGAAGATATTTGAATTCTAAAAATATGACATTGAGTTAATCAATATACATCAATGTATGAATGCACTCAATCGTGATTCATCAGTGAATATCAGCAAGAACAAGAACAAAAACAAGAACAAGAACAACAGCAACAACAACAACCAAGCGACAACGATAAAAACAACGATAAAATTAGACTGGATACCGATTTTATTGACAATATTTTCGATTTACAGCGAAATATACTTATATATAGCGATCATCGTATACAACCGTGTACCGTAAATTGGTGGTCACGGGAAATTGAAAAATATAAAATCTCTAAGCTAAATCGCAGATATATAATATTGTATATTATACGATATATATTAAAAGCAGTTTTAATGAAAATCGGTCGTATTATATATTGTATATTATATTGCAGTCGTCAACACATCGTTTGGCCGCCGTCCGGTCGGGCTCATTTCGGATGTTTCACCGCGTAATCGTCGAACGCTTTGACAGCTTCCTGTTTGGTCAGATCGTCCGGGTTGGTCTTGGTCGAGCTGAACGAGTTCTTCAGTTTGGTGAAAGCGCCGCTGAAGAAGCTGCTCAGCTGCGACTCGACCTTTTTGGTGTTATCCGACTCTTTGACCGCTTCCTGCACTTTGTTGTAAGTGTCCGACGCGGTTTGCTTGAACGAATTCATGAACTCGGTCACCTTGCCCTTAGCCGCCTCCTGCAGACTATCCAGCCCCTGTTGTTGCGTTTCCGCCGCGCGGCTACACTAAATAATCAAAACAAACCACACGGCTTTTTTTTTGATTTTTGCTTTGTTTTTTTTTTTTTTTTTTTAATTCAAATTTCGGGTAAAAAAACCCCAACCCTCGTTTAAATTCCATACGCACGTATGATATTTTGGCTGTACAGATTTTGGCTCGTCGTAAATAAGTCACACAATGTGTATAGTTATGTACGCGAGTTCGATCGCAGGCACTCGCATGATATAATAATCGTCAAAGTTTAATGCACAAAACAGTAATATTATAGTAGCATTTATCTCTACACAACTATATGAATATTACAATATGTCAAATGATTACGCGACGCAGGACGAGATTGTTGGTTTGGCCAATATCGCTCGCCGCCGTGCGTGGGATTTCGGTCGTCGCGATTTTTTGCCGTATACATATCGCCGTGTCTCGAATTTGTCGTTTGACATGAACGCATTTTAATAATCCTACCGGAGTTTATATTCATATTGAATTATATTATTTAAATGTACGTATAAAATATTATATTGAATTGTAATATCATGGTGAATATGTTAAACAATAACGCTCTCCTCGCCATGTACACCTATATATACTATATTACATTTCGACACGTCTTATTAAATTCGAGTGTGCCGAATAATCGAAAAAAAGGAACCAATACCGAAGAAACATTTTTTTGTTTTTTTTTTTTTTTTTTTAATAGTGTTATACAACGCGTTAGCATCCATTGTTTTTTATGGTACTGTACGAAAGTCACACAAACTCAGAGCCACATTTTATACTAAAATATTATTATTTTATTATTTGGTCGCACCATATTATTAATATTGTGATTTTTTTAGTACCTTGGTATCTATAGTATTAGTGTTGTTATTGATTATTATTTTACTTGGATACCTACATAGATATACAATTATAGCTGTTATTATAATAGGTATGTTTTACTAACATTACACGGTACATACAATACGTGCATTACATAATCGTTGGGCTCTTGCCTCTTGAACAGTTTAATTTGCATTTGATTTACGGAATGTGATTATGATAATAATGTCTTGTTTTATACCGATACCTAATTGTGATTGAAAGGTTTGAGTAAATGTTTGGCTTTTGCACCAAACAATGTCTCAGTATTAACTATAGGTGCCCATCATAGGTACTCTTAGTATCTCTTATCGTTCCTAAATGTATCTTAAAATATTTTTTTTTTGCTTAACCCCTAGACTGATGTAGGACGATATCAGATAATAATTGAATTTAAAAACGACACATATACTTAGTTTTGCCTGGGTGGGAGTGATCGGAGCTCCAAAAAAATTGTCTCTTCCCCACATTGTTAACACCGTTCGGCAGTCCATACTTGTTTCGTTATAATATGGTTATAAGTGTAGGTATTTAATTTTACTTCTAGCTGCTAGGTTCTACTTCTAATCACCGACTACTAATTATATTTACGAAAAATAAATATATAACTCGAGAAATGAGAATGGTATGAATGAGTGCGAATTAAAATCACGAAATGTATTCACTTATATTGTTTTCGCTGTTAAATCATTTCACTATTTTAACTTTCACGAATCTATCATAGATTTTATATTAATTATTCATATAAAGTATTGTTATATTACGAATGAATTATCAGTATACATATTGGTTTAGGCGGTACACTGAATGGCAAATTTTATGTGCATATTGTGTTCCACTGTTCCTATTATATCTGCAATCTGTTATTTTGCACTGTGAAACTGACCAATCAAAAAATTAACTGAATAAATTACATATTTGAATTTTAACTTATATCGGAAATTAATGATTCAGCTATGAAGGCACCTGACAACATAATATTACCTAGCAGTTATTAACATTATGTCTTTACATATTTTATGTACAGAGTATTAATATTACATATTATTTATTTTTGTAACGATAAGCCATAATCATCTTAACAATTTTTATTGTGACATTTATAGTAGCTTAATTTTGAGATTAAGTTATCAAATTTTGTATTTCATTAGTTTTATTTTGTCAGTGAACTTAGAAATGAACTTTTCTATACTAAATACATTTTACATGAACTTTAATATTTTACACGTAACATGTGCGTTTAACTATTTCGTATACAATCATATTAATTGATTTATGACTATTATAAATCAAGAAATAAAAAAAAAAAATTCAGATTAGTTGGGCTGCGAAGTTTGTTCCATCTGTCTTTCACACTTGCATCATAGTATTAACCTTTACGTCCCGTCAATACGAACAATGTAATAAAGAGATAAATATTTTTAAGAATAAAATAGATTATAATTTACCATGTTATGTATAGGTACATGAGGAAGATCAAGTCACTATTTGGAATTTCACTATCTAATTTCAAAAATTGTATTAAATTGAAAAAGTAACTCGATAAAATGCACACTTGCACTACCTACTTAATACTGAATATTTAATTGCTCATTTTACTGTATCCGATTCCCTTAAGATTACACATCTGATTATAAATCTGCAATTATTTTGGGTAAAATTAATTTAAATGCGTACGAGATAGAACAATATTTATAAAATCAATTGGAATCAGAAGTTCCCTATATACATATATATATATGCTTAAAGCTGGTACGTTGTTTTTATATGATCGTGATTGTAGCAATTTCGATTTGAAGATTTAAAATTGCATACATTTTTTTTACAATATACTTATATTTATACGAAAAAAAAACATCCCGACAATTTCAGAGATTACGTGTGGTCGATTTTTCAGTTTGTTTTATATGCAGCAAATGAATTAATTCCAACCGATTTACAATGCGCCGTTCCGTTCAGCCACGCATTATTATAATACCGGCTCATCGAAATATTTTGCAAATCTCGCCTCATCTGTACATCGTTTATCTCAATGTATAATTCATGAATGACAAAATTTGACTTTTTTTCGCAGATGATAAAATTATGAATAGAGATAAATCGCAGCCACCGTCGCTCGTCGTCGACTGACATAATATTTAACGTTTTGCTCCGTTGTTGAAATCGTTGGACATTGTTGCTGTTCGAAACACTGTACGTATCGAATACAAATTATGTGGAGATGTATTATTATTTTCGTTTTACTTGGTTATTTTTATACATTTCACTGATTTGGGAAGTACCTATACGTCGAATTAACATTATTCTTATATGGATGGTCAATCTTCCACTCACTCTCGACTCTCGAGTCATGCATATAATATTAGGGTATACATAATAACAATCATGATTATAGATGTATAGAATTTTTTTTTATTATTCGTTATCTTTGTTAGTTTTTCCGTAACCGTTAACCAATAACCGCCCAAACCGATTTATACAATATATTACACGGATATTATCTATTTATTTGATTTATGAGCATGATTGAGATTGTAAAATTAAACGCACAAGGTGTATTGTAGGTAGTATGAACATGCAAATTATGGAAGAATTATTTGGGTTGAAAAATCACGATTTGCTTACAATTTTTCAAATCATGTAATAGTTAATAACTATTTAATTTATTAAGGAATGCAGTGATTGAATATGTTAGATGGATACACAATTAATATACACTTTTATACCTACCTATAATATGTGTTATATTTGTATATTTCAGTGTACAGAAATACTGAGAAACACAGATATACACACACTTAATTTAATAATAATAAATTATTGGTGTGTAATGTATGTTTGCATACCTATATAATATATATATGTACAAATCATATTATAAGTGACGGCTATTATTTAGGCACTATTAAATATTTAGATGTGTCATAATATTATAATTTCTTATGGACGATGATAAGATTACTTTTGATATACCATCACATAAATAATCTTAATAGAATAGTCCATTCTGATTGCATGCAAATGTTTTTTAAATTAAATGATATGTATAATACATGCATTGTACATTTGTACATATTTTATACGATGGCCAGATTATTGTTATAAATTGACCACTTTAATAGGTGGAGACGTAGTGCGTGCTACATAATATTAAGATCTTTAATTTATGGACATTATAACAGTTAATAAACATTATGCGATTATAATTAAATTATAAAAACATCTACCACGGAACGGTTTTTTTTTGCAAATGTTTCTTATGATTTCATGATAGTTCAAAGTTCTAACCACAATGTTAATTTCCAATCGGCTAGGTAATTTTATAGTATATAATGTATTCAAGTATGGTGAATGTGGCTATGAAATGCTATTATACTCGCTATTATATAACTCTGAAAATTAATTTTTGTGGGAAAATATTACAACTATAATAGCTTTTTTTTGTTACATCTGCAGTAAAAATATTAAAATATCCCATATTTATTTAAAAGTCAACAAAAATGTACGTGAAATTTGATTACTTTCCATAAACGGTTGTGTTTGAAGTAGATATTTCTACTCCTGTTTTGTATAATTTTTGAATAATAGGAAAAGTAAAATTAGCCGTCATAAATATTTATTATAAAATCATCTCGTTGAAACATTGTTCTATTGTGAAAAATCGAATGGCAAGGTCGAACAATTTAAATACGTTATTGTTGGATATATTATAAATTATTTTATGATTGGTTAAAACTTTAAAAGTAATGATTTATTTAATGGATGTATACTGTAAACTGTTGATAAAAACCGTACCATAATATTATAATATACATTTTAGTAATGAAATATTAAAATGTAAACCATAAATTAATATATTTTGGATCAATGCTGTTCTAATTATTGCTCATAAATTCATTTAACGAATGAAAATAATAATTGGTTGATAACGATTGTTAATTTTTTTTTCTTAAGCCCGTACGATAATTCTAATAAAAAAAGAACGTGTGATAAAAGTCATATTTAAAATAATGATAATTATCATGGTCGTGCCAATCTAACAGATACGATAAAGTTTATTTGGTCAAACTCGTAGTATAATATAAAGCAGCATATTATAATTTATCGCGAGCTGAATACACTTATGTGCATGTAACATATTTATATATTTATAATAATAATTTAATAAAACTAAAAATGGTATTTATATAAACATATATTGCGTTTATTTTTTAAATTAATTAATATTTTGGCGAGTACCTATAATGTGAGTTGATAGATTTTATAATTTTTTCATACTTATTTTAAAGTAGTGCACACCTTTTTTTATATTATTAACACATGCGAGTATAGAAATCGAAGGATGGGCTTTTTGTAAGGTTTGAAGTCGAAACATATACATGTGCAATAGAGCCAACCGATAAAAAGAAAACTTCAAATTAAATCAGTCCAATCGATAAGAAAACAACAATAATAATAAAGAGATCATCTTCGTGCAAATAATGTTTGCACATAAACAGGCGCGGTTGTATGTCCACGTGACGATGGTAGCTGGACGTTCGTCTAACATTGTTTCATGTATATGTTAAACGAACACAAATATAATGCCATAAATTGTAGAATATTATTATTCAATGAAATTCGAAAAAAAATTGAATATTATGGTCATATTATGTAGAATTTAATATTATTGTATACAGAATTTTAAGTTTATTCGCGTATTTGCACAACGCACCTATCTATATAATATATTTCTGATATATTATGTAGTGCATAGCAATAGAGATCGTCTTCAACCGTACAAAAAGACCATTGGAAAAATAGCAAACGGACATAATATTGAATATTATGTACGTTTGTGGAACTGTTACAAGACATTATTATTATGGGCACATTAGCTTCGATTACCTAACCGAAACATCATTATTATCGTGCACTGCAATAATAACGATAATAATTATGGAGCTAAAATAGTATAATATGTTGTACCTATGGGATGCGTAATATACATTTTCGTTTTCAATACTCACGTCAAAAACGAGGCACACTAGTGCCGTGACGACGAGGGCTTTGATCGCGAACCTTGCCATTATTTCGATTGTTGAAAATGAAAGACGAAAAATTAAAAATCAAAACTGTCGTTGTGCAGTCGAATGTTAATAACACACACACGTATGTTCGTCTCGGAAGCAGCAGAATACACTACTACGATTAATTGCGAGCCGAGGACGGATATTATGTGGGTTAGCGAGAGAGCGTGTGCGCGTGCTTGGTGCGTGCGTGTGTTAGAGTTGAGCGTGTGTATTCGTTATGGAGTTGGGATGTGTGTGTGTGTGTGTGTGTGTGTTCGTTATAGTGTTGCTATATATATGTGTGTGTGTGATTTAAAGTTAGTGTAAGCGTATTAGAGATAGTGTAGGTGTGTGTGTGTGTGTGTGTGTGTGTGTGTGTGTGTGTGTGTGTGTGTGTGTGTGTTTTTCTGAACCCTAACACCAGGATCACGGCGGTCATGCGATTAGATATCGACGCTGAAGACCATAATATTTAATTAACGCGTAAATCGTCCGCTAGTGAGTTCGGTTAAGTATCGCTCATTATAGACCGTTGGTATCAAAAATAAAAATGAAAAATCACAGCAATACAATAAAAAATTAATAACAACAACGATGATAATGTCGACCCTATTGTATGCGCGCGGCGGAAGAGAATGTGTTTTTTTACAATTTTCGTTTGTATAATAATAACAAAATAATCACCACTACTCTACCTATATATTGTATATTATTATATTTATATTATAATATATGTTCCGTGTGTTTTTTTCATTTGATTTGATTGGTTAAACCTTGAACAGCGGCGGCTGGTATAAGAATAATATTTGTGTGTAAAAAATGGTCTCTGAGCTGATATTATCTATATACGTATATACACCATACACGTCCGTTGGTTATTCGTAGGTACCTATATTATTCAAATATAATATTATTTATGACTCATCGTGTAGTTTATTAATTTGACTCTATACCATCGGGGAAGGTCTCTCGTCGTTAGTGCAACACGCGGCTGTATGGGTAGTACAAATAGTACAATTAATACACCGCTATTCCAGTTGCCATTATTCTCTCACCTTTTGTGTTCGTCTTCGTCGTAGACATTCCGATCCGTAAGACAATGATCGTTTATCATAATATGAAAACAGGCCAACGCATGCACGTAGTTTATAGGAACCTATGTTTGCATACAACGTGTATAGACGATGAGAAGAATCGAAGGTCTCCGTTGGAATCTCGATATAATACGAGTTTTATAATCGCAGATACATGTCCAGCACGTATACATTATATGACTATGATTTATATATTATGCACCATAAAATAGTAAAATGTGCATTTTCTTTTGTTGAAACATGCTAAAATATGCAATAAGATAATAAGAATATATTAAAATAATCAATGAAATTACCAATCATATTCAAACTGTCATCATTTAATTTTAATATGTAGATATAGATTGGGAAAATCAAAGTTACTTGTTATGTAAGCTCATATCATTTTCGATTTTTTACTTTATCCTTATTAATTTTAATAGATTTTTAATTGTTTTCGTTTAAATATAAAATCACTGATTTTATGGAATTTAATATTAAGTTAATAAACGCACTATGACGCAGCAGTGCAGCATATTAAGTGCACGCGACACTTAAACTGACTAATATTTTGAGCTATTTATTGCCTCATCAGTATTTAAATATTTAAATATTTTTTTGTTTTTTTTTTTAAATATTGATAAAATTTTATCATCAATCAAAAAACATGAAAATGTTATGAGTACATGATTCCCTATTATAAATTGTAGATATATATAAACGTTGTAACATCATAGGCAAATTATTGTGAACTCACATATTCAAAATGTTTGTTATTTTCTTTTTAACTACTTATTTGATAAAATTGAATATTTAAACGAAGAATAACGACTTGTTTTCTAACAGTTTTAGTTAATATATATTGTAATTCAAAAAATATTAATCTCAATTACTTGAAACTTTTAGATTGTCCTAGGCATATTAATGATTAATAGTAATGATTCCATGGATTAAAGCATTTTGGTGTGAATAGTGTATGATTCAGTTAAAAATGTCTTATGCCTATGCAATCTCAATATAAACATTTAACAAGTAAGTACTTAGAAAATAACCGATTTATAGGTAACTATTGAGAGTTATTAATCACACTAAATGTACCTTTTATACAAATACCAATATACATTTATTGCAATATTGTTATGTTAACGATTTACAATCCATTTTTTTCAATTGGAAACCATGTATTTTGGTACTTAAGTACTAAACAATATGAATTTGAGCAATTCAAAATTGGATAATTTAAAATTCAACAAAATGTTTTATCACTTGGTACTTTGTTTTCTTAGAAGTTTTGTACGTTTAATATTTGTAATAACTTTATAAATTACACTTATACTAAATAATATCGTGATATATTTCGTAAATATATTACGTATATACTTTTAACTAGATAATGGAATTGAAAGAAAAAATTTGAATGTATAAATTAATTCCAATATTACTCAAAATTATAAATTTTTAAAATATACTTTTACAATCAATGGTACGGTATCTGGCTAATGATGATTGCACTGCAATCTGCAGTTATTATATATTTATACCCACCCATAAATAAGTATAACTGTACATCGTACTTATGTACATTTCTGTATGTTACAATTGCGTAAGCTGAAGTATATTAAAGTTCATTTCATACTACCTACAGGGCTATGACTACAGGAATATGACTATAACGGCTTATCGGTTAATATAAGACTTGAAAGATCAATAGATAATGAATTGGAAAAATTAAAAATGAAGAGAATGCCGCACCCGAATTACTCGTTAACAGTGATATTATTTATTAAATTATTATCTGTTTGATAAAACAATATTGTATTGACTTTACGAGTCATTCTAACGATTTTAAGTATTTTGTTACCAAGAAATTATTTATTATGGACTGTGGAGTTTGACATAGTTTTCAATTTATCAATCGATTTTCCTTGGTATGCGATGTTGTGAGTAAGCATAGTATTCTAATTTATTCATGGCTTCGTGCGTTAATGTCTCTCGATAACATTATAATAGTATACTATTATAGTAATATGCACCACTCATAGACACACATAATTATTACTATTATAAGTGTATTATGTCTTTATAATGTCATTTAATAATCTATACAATTATGTTTTATGGGTTTTCATATTATCATTTTTTTGTGTTTGAACTGTTTGTCGATAGTTTGTTGGTTCAGTGTTAATACCTTTCCGTGGCTAAACATTAATATGATTTACGGAAATGTGACAAAACATTTTTTTTTGTATAGACAATGGAAAGTGACGTTTCAATCGTATTATGATAACAAGACTGCATTATTGGCTTAAGTCAAACAATATTTTTTTTGTTTTTAATTTTATGTCCGTCATTATTAATGCGGATGTTTCACAGTTTCCAAATAACCGTTTTGTACATACCATTGTGGAGCATATCAATTTTAATAATCTAGGTAGTAACATTTTAAGATTTTCAATGACTATATATTTCTTGTGTTTTTCAGATTAAAAATTTGGTTTTTTGTAATAGTTGTATTTGTATTTATTGAAGTTAACTAACTTGTAATAAATCGACCTTTTGTATTATACGCGTGATGATACACGTGTTTATTTCAGACTTAAAATTAAATCGCTTTTCATATTTTACTTATAATTTTCAATTTTGTCTCTAGTATCATATATAATACTCGAAATTGTTCGATATTATCTATTTATTGAGATATAAGGAAATTCCCTTCGAGAATCTCTATTACAAATTTGAGCATCATATTATATTCTGATACATTGATCGTATACCGGGTTCATAAAACTATTCATTGGATATTATATACTTAATACTCAACTACTCAAAGAGTTCGTATCAAGATGATTGAATTTAGTAGGGCTTATCGTCTTGTTTATATTACTATACTATTAAATACATATTATTTGTTATGAGCTGTGGCACACTGTCATTAATATCAAAGTGGTGCAAAATGTTGGGGATTTGTGTGGCATTGGGGCTAAAAACTCAGAAATCTAGAATTCTAGACTATTGATTTTTTAAATAAAAAGTAATACATTTGAAACCAAATTCTAACCTATACGTGGGCTTTTTATAATGGAAACAAATATATATATGTCAACCCCCCCCCAAAGTTGAGCACGTTTTTGAACACCATATAGTTTATATATATAAATACGCGTGTGTTATTTACTAATAAACGTAATATTAGATTTTCCATTTGAAATTTGCCCTAGACTTCAAGGATCTTGCATGATTCATTTTTTTGGTCATTCGTTCAACATCTCACAATCATTTATTAATGCCAACATGCACTAAAACATCATAATTAACTATCTTGCTAAGCAACGTTCAACTCGCCTTCTATAATGGCTCTAAAATTGTAAATTGTAGACGAAATAGGATTTATAGAACTCATAACTCGTTTGAGTATTAAATATGACTATAAATGAAATGTTATTAATGCATAATTGTTCTTACACGGTCATTGTAAAAGAAACAAGTCAGTTAATGATTAGGATAATGAATTATAATTAGATATTTGGTAATTAGTTGTCGTCATCAAACTAATTATTAGTTACTTATATTAGTATAGTGATTTATTTTTGTATATGTTACAAAACCTAAACATAAGTAAAATAATCATCAAAAGAAAAGTTTAAAATTTTGAGTCATAGTAACCTATATACATTGTAAACAGCATCTTAACTGTAAGTTTCATTATCTGATTAATATTTATAATGGTTGCTATATATATATTAGGTAAACACATATGTGAAAGCTGTACGGTAGCCTGCTTTATAGTGTATAGGTAAATATGAATGATTTTCAATGAGAAATAATTTTTCGTCAGACGAACTGTATATTAGATAAAATTATATATTCACGTGAAAAGTTTACTTGATAACTCGTTTAATTTTACTGGGCTTGCAAAATAATGACTTTTATTTCTGAGTTGAGATAACTAAATTATAGTTACTACAATAATTGGCTATAAAAATGGTCTGAAGACGTTTGTGGTTTCACCTTTAGTTTAGGTTAACGATTCAAGACTCCAATTAAAATGAGACTACAGATTGATCGATAATTAATATTATTGAAAAAATATTGTGGAAAAATTGGATAATGATTTAGATTTACTAAGTATAAAATGTTCATAATTCAATGACACAAGTTGTATCATAATCAAACAAAAATAATACAATATAATAGGTTCCATTCGTCCATTCTCGGCTATGGAGTGTTCACTGATCCGATGATAATTTACAAAATACAATGTGATGAAACACGGTCGTTTATGAATAATTGAGGTTACAATTATTAATGTTAGACTTTTTAATTACTGTAGTTGTGTGGTGTTGGATGGCGTTTTGTGTGACCTTTTTGAGTGCTGCAATTATATTATATGTGAAAAAACATTTAAACAAAAGAAATTAGTTTTCCTGTGAATAGGACTGCCCAAGGTCATTAAGACATATTCGAATTGTTACTATTTATGTTCTAGATAGAAACTAAAAACTTAGAATAGACATAATGTTTTGATTTCCACACATCTGTAGTGATGATTGATGTACATAATATTTCAAATGCTTTATTTTGGAAATATATCAATGTATCATTCAAGTACCCATATAATTCAATATTGCAGTTTCTCAATACTTATTATTGTTGTATAAAATTTCAATAAAATATGACATTATTGTGGTTTTAACTTAGCCTTACATAAATCAAATGTAACAATAGATATTAGATACATATAGATCATATTATATATTCTGTAGGTAAGATGTTCTCAAGAGAAGACGAATATATTATGAAAATACGAAACATATTATAGGTGCATTAATGAGAATTGTACAACAAAACGCAATATATTATTACCTACTTAGTAGGTATATTGTATATGTATACTGTGCGGGTATTTAGGCAATTAGTGATAGACTTGTAAGATGGATCATACTAAACGCATCATATTTTTAGTACCAAAAATGTATACGAGGTTAATTGTTATAAATAATGTTATATTTTAAACTACGTATAAAATTCAAAAATTCAAAAAGTTATTTATTTTCTATAGACAAAACTTAAAAATTAAATACCATGTATACCATATTATGCGGAACCCGATTATGGTCTGTGCCAATTTTTAAGAGGAATTCCGTACATTTTCAATCGGATAAGATTGTAAGAATTGTAAAGTTTCTATTGCTGAACGTTTGCACGTAATAAACTATTTAATATTAGTCAACTTTATTAAAATTCTTAAGGTATTCAAATGTGGTCGCCCGCACACAATCCTATTACTTGTTTAATTATTGTATACCCATGTATAAAATAAATACATTCATAATATCAATTAATGTATTATTATTAGTTATATTTATGGAATTCATTATTCAGTATTATCAGTTTCAATATCACAAACAACTTTAAAGTTCTAATATTATTATTATTATTATTATTATTATGCTATGATAAATTTGTTATATTATAGTAAATAACTTTCAACCATTGTTAGATACAACGTTATTACTAAGTACTTATATCATATTATTTAAAAAAAAAACAAAAACACTTTAAATCTACACAGTGCACATAATGGTTGTATTAAGATAAATTTTTTTTTTCAAAAAAAAAAAAAAAACGAAAAACTTATTTTAATATATTTTAAGCCAAGAGTTCATAAATTAAATGTTTCGTTTTAGCATTGATTATTATTACTATGCATAATCAACGTAATTATTATTTTATTTAGTATATACATCTTACATATTTCGATGAAATCGTTTAATTATTAATTATCGCTATTTCAGTAACCATTATCTCTTGGTCTAGTTGGGCCAATGTGATATTTCAATAGGTCACGCTATCATATGTCACCACTCACCATGTATGCATCAATCCAATATGTATATCTAATTTAACATTTTAATAATTACTACTATTTGAACTAGTTACCTATTTAAAAATACGAAATAGTTTCAATTCCTATTTAATATTTTATTATCTACATTTATTCCAAATTTTTAAAAAGAATGTAGTTGTGGAATTGTTAAGTTAGAAATCATGATGTACATTATATCAATTATTTTTAGATTTTGATAATTGTATAGTTACTTTCGGTTTTCGTCGAGTAAAAGTCACGTACGTATTTGACCGACTCTAACGCTGATTAGACAAATAATAAAAGTAAAACTAATAATTATTAGATATTTTTTTGTGGTTTTTACGTTGGGTACTAAATTACTCATAGATAATTTATATAAACACTGATTTTAAATTATTAATCAAGTTATTTATTGCAAAAATAGTCTTGAATTATTTATTTAAAATATGAAACTAAGCTTTATCCATAATTTGTATTTGACTATATAATAGTCAAATAAAAAAATATAAACATTAAACTCTTATAGGCAGTAAGATAAAAACATGTTACATTATATCCGGTGGGTTATGAAAATTAAAGTTTGCTGGATTTTTTGATTCATATACCTATCGTTGTAATTAATTAAAATATGATTTTAAATGTTCATATTTTCTATGAAATGATTTCCATCGCTTTTTATTCCGGTTTGTAAAAACATTATAAGACTCTTACAACTCTTACTTAAACTTAGAACCTAGTTACAACATATCTGGAGTTTATACTGATACTATTTACGTTTTAAAAACATTATTTTTAATATCCTAAAATATATGATAAATGCACATTTAAAATGAAAACTGAAATATTTTAACTTTCAGTGTATTTAAACTATTTGTCTTATATTAAAGTGATGGTCGTTAATGCTTATCAATATAGCAATTATAGTTATGTTCTTTTTTAATTATCTCATATATTAATGATTAACGAACAGTTTTAATTAATAGACAAAAGTTAGAAAAAAAAAGATTTTATGCAAATCAATACAAAATGCAAATCTATTGTTGTAATGCCAAACAAAATAAGATAATTACTTTTAGTTTACATGTTTAGCCTATCTGTAACGGTTGTGCAAATTTAAAGATCATCACTCACTATAACCGGTTCATTCAGCTTCATTCAACAACTAAACAAAACAAAACATTTAAGGTGTTAAGGTACGTTACGTAGGTCTAAATTTATACAGATTTATTAATGCGGGCCCAGAATCATGATTGTCAGTATTGACTACCTAAGTATCGAGGAAAGTCGCTTTGGTGTATAATAAAGGTTTAGAGTGTACCTCATCGTCATTTAGTAGGCAAATCATACATTGTAAATTATATGTTAATATATTTAGATCTCATTATGATATATTTTATATATCATTTTATTATTTTATACTTTGATTTAATCACATTTTTTTTTTAGAAATATAGTAGGTTGAATTCATTTTTGACATAGAAATTGAATATATAATATAATAAATTAATAATAGTTATTACTTATTAAAATATTGTATCGTGTATTATTAATTTATAATTCAATACGTACCTACTGTTGAACGGTGTGAATAGGTTCATATTATAAATAAGTACTAACATTAAATTAGTCTAAATATGGAGAAAATCGCATAATTTACAGAAAAAATAAACTAACGTAATAGTGGATAGTCAAGAGTTTCCGATTATTTGTATCACAACAAAATAACAACAATCGTTTCTATAATTCTGTGTACAAAAATATATTAAAAAAATAAAAACTACAATCGTTGGATTAAAAATTGTTGATTTCTTGAAGTTAAATATCAAATTTAAACTAATAAAAAAAAATGTGCTTATATCTTTTTCCAATTTTTAAATTTCTGCGAAAATCAAAAGCAAAGAACCATTAACATTCAATTAGCTAGGTACATTTGAAAGTTTTATGACAAAGATAATTTTTTAAAAAATATTTATAGTATAGACTATAGAGCTTAAAATTAGTCTAAATATTTTTATTGTATACAGAAAATTATAATCCAAATTAAAAGAAAATATTTTAAATTTCTACAGTCAATATTTTTTGAAAAAAAAAACATTTCATACATTTGAACATTGCCTGTTCAAACTTCAAATAGTCATACAAAATTAATGTGGCTACACTCCATAAACATTCTTCTAAATATTTTAGTAAGTACCTACTGAGAATTTTCAATTTGAACTTAAAAAGTACCTATTCTAGATTCAACCGTCTACAAGAAACTTCCATCGAAATTGACGATCGGGGTATTTTCTCTAACTGTAGAAGGGTCTAAAGACATAAAAACATACATCATTTTAAAATTAATACATTTTTCGCTACGCTTAGAATCCAAAATAAGAGATTTTTATAGTAAGACAATATTATTATAAACTAGAATATAATAGGAACATCGTATTTAAGTTTAATCGAGAGTAACAGCTCAAATCGAACATTGAATTGATAATAATTACTCATATTTTTTATGCGCATTTATTGGTTGGTCTAAAAAATATAAATTCATAACATGGCAATGATATTTTTAATTTTTAATTGCGAACACGTTATATATACGTGCATAACACAATATATCATATCATAACATACAGACCAATACATCGTAAGATAACAGGTAAGTCATAAAAGCATAACTTGCAACTTGTACTGCAAGCACTGCAGCCTGCATATTATTATTTATTGTGTTCGGAGGAGTGCTTAGGAATGTGTATAGCGTGTGGAGGGGGTGGACATGTTTTTTATTGTTCATTTAGGAACCAATATTAAACATGAGAAATCTATTACAAAATATAAATAAATAGACTACAATTTTTGTGATACAAAATATTTGTTAAATTTAGTTTATAAATTAGTTATACTATAGGTACATCAGAAAACAAAATTTATGTAATTTAATATGTTGCTTTGAAAATGACATTTACTTGTATGACCTACCATAAGCTTTTCGCCTATCGACTTTGATGTTTGACGTCAATTACATCGATTAATATAGACTACCTGAATTGGGTACTACTTTTGCACCAGTACGGCAGCACAAACGGTATGATAAACTAAAATCAGGTAGGTACACATCAATAAATTGCGTCATAAAAAAAATGTAGGTAAGTAATATATGATGGATTTTAAATCTAATTTCGTCTAATTTATATTTTATATAAGATAAACATTGATGGACAGTAAAAGCTTAAAATCAAATAATATACATTATACCCTTTATAAAAATACAATAGGTATACGTTAATTAAACATAATAATAAAGAAAGATAAGGTACACTTTTGATAAGACCAAATAAACCCAATTATACATACTTATACTAGTATTCTAAGTCTCACCTATACGTATAAAGTTACGAAATAAAACTATACACCTACTTAAACCTACTTATTTTATTATACTCTGTAAAATATGAAAACGTTATATTAATTTATTTAAGAAGATATGTATTTTGATATTTATTGATGTTCTATTGACTGCTGTTTAATGCATAATCTTATTTACAACTACATCCATTAATGTATATTTTCATTGAATTATTTTCTATAGGAGCTCTTGCTCTGGGGGAGGGGGGGGGGTCTTGACAATAACAACAGCGGATTTCTTATTACTCATATTTTTACTAGGAAGCACAGTATGGGAGTGGGACTTTGAATTATCGGCTTCTATTTAGTAAACTCGCGGATAGTGTGTAGTGGTGGGGGTTGGGAGAGTTAATCAATTTTTTCCCGCAAATAAATAACGACCTAACTATACTGATTATCGGGCACTGTTCCCGGCAGGTACAACTTATATAAAGCAATAATCCCAATATGCTGTCATATACCCACAATATAATATATTTATTATATACTCGTGAGTCGTGAATGATTGATTCTCGGATCTTTTTTTCTGACGTAATAATAGGCATTATGGTAATGTTGACTTTTAATACATAGTTTATATACCAATAGGTACACGTTTTCTACAATAATCGTTGAAATTAAATCACAATAAGTTAAATTATACTCGCGCGTATAGCGTTATAAATGTACAATTTTATCTTAATGATACCAAAACACATCCTCAGGAAAATATATTACTAAATTATACTTTCATTTGGTGTCGTTATGATGGTTCATAAATTATATTCTCACACTCTGCACACTCTAGAAGCATAATAGTATATAATATTACTATTATGAACGTTCGTCCTAAACGAGAATCATCACCATATGAAATAACGAATTCGAATATCATACATCTGCCTCCGAGTTTCACGACTAATGGTATTCAACATTCAGCACACAATGAAAAATCGATATGACGTTTCGACATTCGAAACCATCAATAAAATTTATTTTTTTTATTGAAACGACCTGTAATTGTTTTTATCAAAACCATTTATAGTTTGCTAAAAAAATAATAAATGTGAACATAGATACTCACATGCTACACGCGTGTGGAGTGGACACATTTCTATTGAAAAATTAAAACCCAAACCACATTAGTTTACAAGCGATATGTGAAGTATATTATTTGGAAGAACTGGGAGTGCTAATTTGAAACTTTTAGGTGATAAACACCCCCAAGCACCCCCTCCACTCTATGTGCCCCTATGCTACTGGGGTGAGTTTTTTTTACCGTAACGTACGGTTATTACGAGGAAGCAAATTTAATTGCACTACAAAACAATAAAATGAGCTTAAAAAAAAATACAATTTAACGTACTGATAAAAAAAATTGTGTGATCAAAAATGCTTTGAAAAAACTTTATTTCTCATACAAATATGAATTTTTTTTCTTTTAGGAGGAAATCAAAATAAATGTAATCACGTTTTCTGATAACACTATGAAGTATGCAAAAATAAAATAATAATGCCCTAATAAGTAAAAACAAAAAAAATGCAAAATACAATTCTCAGTTTTTATTTTTTGATAATTTATGTAACGAATTGTGCTTAAAATGCAATATTATAGGACATTCTGAAAAAAATGCAATTTGCATTAAAATCTGCTCCACAGTTATTATACATGTTTTTTTATTGTAGGACGAGCTTCTGATTTTCGGATGAAAATCGTGGATGGAACTATAATCCTAGGACCTTTGAACGATAACCACAACCTTTGATGAGTTGGAAAATGCCGAACGTGATGGTCATCACTGTCACCGCCACCTTGATGTTGCTGGCCACCGTTGAAACGGTGTCTGCGGGGGTCGCAACCATCGATGAACGTCAGCAGGACTTAGACAGCGAGTACGATGGTGGAATAAAATCTCTGAACATGGAGCTGATCAAATCGTCGATACTGGACAAGCTGGGAATGCAGCGGCCACCGGAATTAGGCGATCGGCTGCTGCTGCAAGATCGCTTGGGCAAGTACAACAACGACAGCGGAAGTTACACGGTGGCGCCCTCGCAAATCCGGGTCAAGTCCAACCGCATAGACCCGATCGGGAACGGCGGCACCGACGTGCAGAGCCGTAAAACAGCATCCGAGTCCACAGACAACACTATTAATGGTCGCAACGTCCGAGACGACGACGACGACGATTATCACGTCAAGACGCAAAAGCTCATAGCGTTCGCTCAGCCACGTGAGTACAACCCGCCATTTAAAAGAATTTTTTTTTATTTTGTTTTTCTTGATTTTTAAAGTACCCACTGGAATTTTATTTCTGTCCCTAAAAACCATCAACTAATTTTCTACTGTAAAAAGTGTACGCGCTGTAAAACACATCGGTACCTATTAATAACACCAACACATGTTTTTTTTTAAATCTAAAAGTACGAAAATAGTACACATTATATGTATATATAATATATATAACGATGAATAGTAAGGAAAAAAAACTTTTTGATAAAAAATAGTTTTGTTCCAACTATGGTAATTTTACAGTAGTAGGTTCTATGAATTCCACAGTTAAAATTATTTCTTAATAATCAATATTATTCTGGACGTTCTCCATACAAACATGGCGAGTCAAAGTTTGAATAAATATCAGCACCCCAGTCGTTGCACGTTCAGTGTGCCACCCCTATTTTTCAAACAAATTCAAACTAGACATTATAACATAATGATATGTACAGTGGTTACAGGGTTAACCTTCTCACGCCCCTTTGCACAATTTCCACATCTTTATGCTATAAAAAAAAAATCAAATTACACATTATTGTTTGGTAACTACCAACCAATTTTTATTTTACAAACTTAAGCAAATATATTCATGCAATATAAATCTGAAAGTACAAATGATAACATTAACATTTAACAAATAATTTATTTTACGTATGATATATAATTTACAATGTAATTGACAAAATATTTATTAAGCCCTTAAGCTGTCTTGCTTAGACATTCTTCCTGAAAAAATACTTTCATGCCATTGTTGTTGTAAGGCTATTGGATAAGCTTAATGCCTTTGATTGTCAGAAAGCCATTTTATAACAACTGAATAGAGATAAAGATAGAGATTAAAATTGGAAAGATTACATATTATAATTATTAATTTCATATAAAGTGAATTTTTTAATAGTTTTCTGCGATAACGACAACTTTCTGCTAGTTTAAAAAATATTTTACTATGATATTAATCTCTCGATGAATTCGATTTAGCAGTAAGGATACATGCATATAAATTACACAAAAAAACAAACAATGCCTACACTAAAATAAAGGTCACACATTTTTATAAATTAAAGATACTTAAAATGATATTACAGAAATAATTAAAGGTTTCCAACCCTCATAATACTTCAACAGCGTTTTTGCAACTTATTTTATCATTCAACTGTAGGATACAGCATATTTTTTTGTTTGATGTGTAACGATAAACCTAGTAATTTTATTATTTTTAGTTTTTACTTATTTAATCGTTTAGGTAATCAGTTAATAATATTATACTATAGTGTGTATATGTTATATACCTTGCAGTTAGTGTACATTATATATCGATAACATTTAAAAAAAAAATAGAATTACATCTCCTTCACGACAGTAGGTATCCGGCGTGTTCGCCATTTACAATTCAAAGTAAAGAAATAAAGATTAATTTGATAAAATGTTGTTAAAAACAATTTATTCTTGGCATCATAACAGATTTTCTTTTTTTTAAATTCAAACATATCTGCTTGTTGTTTATAGTGTATGCAGTAAAATTTATACTATCTATATAAAGCCAGTGTCTAGTGCACACTTTTCAAATCTATAGCTCACAATTCCAATTTCGGACTATACACTTTGTGATCACTAAAAAATAGGGGCTGCAGTACACATGTTGGTGACGTGAGTGGAAATTGGGAGCTGGGTCTGGACTTGATGATATTCTTGTTCTTTTAAAGTTTAATGCTGCCGTTGAGTAGTTATAATTATAATAATATTTACAACAACAATAATATACTCTTAATTATGATGGAAAAAACGTAAGATTAATAAATATGATGTACCTAATGCTAAGATGAAAATAATAACGATCATAAATACCGACACAGATCCCACGGTGCAAAATCTACAGGGCCAATATCCACTCTGCTTTACGTTTTCCGAGCAAATTCAACATTATCGAATCACCAAAGTCATTCTGTGGGTGTACAAGATACCGTTGGACGTGATCATCGATAACTCGGTGGTTATCATTGATGTGTACAGAATCAATCCAATCAACTTGCAACAGTCATTAGTTTCCAGCATAAAGGTGAGCCGCCCTGACATGAAAGCTTGACTTCATTGAGTTTAGAGTCGGTGGACATTGTTTCCTGCAGTCAGACTATCGCCACATAATAAAATCGATAAACTTGGTTACACTCGACACAATAGAAGTAGGTAATAAACAAAACTATGTATTGCAGCTTTGCGTAGTAGCTGCGGCTTGCTGGTATAATATAATTATATATCTACTTTAAATGAACGATTTTCGCACATATACCTTAAAACTCCGGAAGTGTTTATATATAGCTTTAATTTGCAACTCAAAAACCTAGGTAGCCATACTACAGGTGGACTGTCCATCTCTGTCGAATTTGTTCCCTAAGTGATTTGACACCATTTTCTCATCATGAACTGAGGCTTTCACTTTAACCGAGATACACCTATACATACTTTAGTGTTTAATATTTGTTAGTTTTATCCGTGGTGAAGCCTGGTTATACAACTATAGTAAATAATAAATTAGTATCTAATATCTTTGTATTTTAATTAATTATTTATAACGATTTGTAAAGTGTACTTTATATATTTTTTTAGCGGGTGTTGAACACTACGGAACCTAGTTGGGTGCCCATTGAGCTACAGAAAAACACGTCTGACTGGTTCAAGACCATTGGCGAGGTCAAAAACTTGACGCTAATGGTACAAGCCTACTACCCTGACAAGAACAACACGCACGACAAGTTGCCGTACATAATTGACTCCAAAAAAAGAGATGATAATATTACCGAGGTACGTTATTATATCATAAGGTAACAGGTAAATTATAAAGTACACATAATATACTTACCCCCATACATTATATTTTTATCGTTGTTATAGAGTATTATTTTATATTCTAAACATATACATATCATATGATTGTAATGTATAATTATTATTGTATAATACACAGGACACATAGTTAGATGCAAAGAATAATAAAACAAATACCCATGTAATTACCAGATATGACGAAGTTGTAACTCCGATACTACATAATATATCAGAACTACGCAGTTCAAACATAGTCCAGGATACGTAAGAGTGATGTTATGATTTATTAGTATAGGTTAGAGAGAGAGGATGTGCCCGTTGAAAGAAAAAAATATTTTTTTTTTGATATTTGAATCATAATACGGTGAACTTGGATGTTATTGTACATCGCCACGCCACTTCTTATTGATTATATAGTGCATTAGAAAACTGTTTACCGAGCATAATTCCATACACTTAACATTCGAATATATAACATAATAATATACTTTAGCTCACTCATATTACCATCGATGGTATAATGCTGATTTTTATATACATACGAAATATACGAATTGCGAAAAAAAATAACGTAATATTACATGCTTTATGTACGCGCCTTAAGGAGTCTGTAAACGACCGCATATATTTTGTATGCATATATATAATTATTTATTATATTACACATTTATTATGCAGAGATAGGAAAATTAATCGATTAGTACTGGTTACAAATTACAAGCTACAAAATGTAATTTTTTAACAACCAATTGTAACTGACATCAAAAACCAAACACTTTCCATGAATTAACGATTTTAATTTTGGGGGCCGACTTAACACCCCCCCCCCCCCCCCCCCAAAAAATGTTTTCCTATCAAACTGTACCTAATCAAACCCTTATGTTACAATTTGTTTTTAGACAATTCATAAATTATATAGCTAAGAGATTGTGTGAGGATACTGCCTGAGTAAAATATTGTTCTGTAGGATAACATCAGAGTAATAGGTTTATTAAGTAGCTAATTAAAGAATTAAAGAAGTTATTAGTATTGATAATACACAGTGTTATGTCATCAACGCCACCTCCCTCTCTACTGTTGATTTCACCTCCCGCATAGACGTAGCATGTTGAATTTATGTGTCTTGTAAATTTATATAGCTTTTTTTACTTGTTTACTTGTGGTACATCGACGACGCTGCCGGAACTTCTTGAGAATTCCGAGAGGACTTGACATAATTCTGGGTGGGCCCTTAGTCTTTCCCCTTCTACGTCTATGTCAACCCTCAAATTTGGGCAGCGACACTTCCTCTGAAACCTTCCTGCAAGCTGCAACACTACACCCCCATCGCCTAGGGCACAGCACCACACTACCATCTCCATATATATTTAATCGTCCAATAACTCTATCGATCTACTGCGGTCACGCGTTGTGCAGATCCCGTACTTGGAGGTGCACACCCACTACGGGCACCGGAACAGGCGGGGTGCGGAGTCCGAGCAGCGGACGTACAACGGTACAACCGCGGCGCACGCGCAGTGCAGCAGGCATTCGGTGACGATCGACTTAAAAGAACTCGGCTGGAAACAGATCGTCTGGCCCGAAAAGTTGAAGTTTTACTACTGCTCGGGCGAGTGCAGTTCAACGACGTCAGTGCTATCCTCTAGCGGGCGAGAAGTGCATCAGTGCTGCGTGCCACGCAAGACGTCCGACCTGTTCGCGTTGTACTTAGACTTCACCGGTCCAAGTCGTATTCGCCACGGAAAAATATCCGACATGATAGTAGACGAATGTGGATGCCAAGACACTGATTCCATTGTGCGTTCACTGCTGAAGCGGCTCGTATAATAAATTGATAAACACGAATGTATAATATTATTATATACGAGTTAGAGTAAAATATAAATATATAATTATTATTATTGAACACGTTTGTTTTGATAAATGCAAGTACATCATCATTGGTTCTACGTATTAATAGCCGTATTTGTACCATAAATACCGTTATCTTGTATACTGCAGGTACAAAAGTTTATAACGTTACATCACTTGTATTTGTTTTAGTATACAAAACAAATGACTATATTATGTGATGTGTGCAGTGTTCCAGTGTGCATGATAAACAAACTGTTTAAATACATTTTTTCAATATTAATATCAAGTATAACTAGTATAAGTATGTACTATACCTAAACAGTATTGTATGGATTTAATGAGAACTATTTACTTATAGGCTATAAACTTATCCTAACCTTGAGATTATCTAAAAATAATAATAATCAAAAACGTATGAAAGGTGATGGTATCTGGCCCAAAACATTATCTTCACTGTCTTTATCATTCATTGTATTTGTACTCTCTTCTTGTGAAGATAATTATTTGGGTGATTAGGCAGCCCAATATTTTGTGTCTTCCCACGTCGTCGACACCCCATTTCGCCGACTATTTTATACATGTTCCCAATTTGCCGAATATAAATATTATATAAAAAATTATATAAATTTATATTATAATAAAAGTCAATATAAATTAAAGTTTTTGTAAATAAAAAAAGTCAATATAAATAAAAATAAAAATTATAAACAAAAATGATTGTATGTACATATAATATTTTATTATATCTATGTAGTCCAATAATGAAATTTCTTTTGATTCTTAGACCCATTGATTTCCGAAAATAGTGCTGCAACACAAATATGCTCAATTGGAATGATTAGCCAATATGGTACATTATTCTAAGTTTATCAGTGTTAGAGCACATTGGACAAATTGAATGCTAAAACCAAATTCCTATAGGCATTGTTTCATCATTATCATTATGCGTCATCGATAATTTAAAAATATTGTTTATTATATTTTTGAAAACAAACAGTGTTTAAATAAAATTGGGATACTATTATATCATTTTCCAATGATGTGGTTTTTTCACAAAATATATCCAATTGAAAATGTACAAACTATGAATGGTTAAAAACATATACAATTTTCAATTTTTACAGCTAAGGATTGAATGTTTAAGATAATAAAGTTCCAAGTAAATAGTTTATTTAGTAATCAAAAAATCTAAAAAATATATAGGTAATCACAATAAATTTGACATACTGTATTACTATATAATTCCGAATGGTAAAATAAATGACTTAAATCACAATCATATCATAAAATATACTGGCTTAGCTTGTATTTGCATTTTGCTTAGAATCATTTTTCGTAAAATTGTTATTTTCCATTCATATATCCTATGTTCTTATAATGTATTACTTTTCTCTCCCCTCCACGAAGTTGAAACTAAATACAACTTTATACCTGAAACCACACACACAGTTTAAAATCAAAGCATTTTAACTGCTTCAAAAAATGATGAGTGATAAGTGATGACTAAACAAAAAGAACTCAATAAATCCATTACTCCACTCAGAATATAAAATGACTAGGTACGAACAAATGTAAATGCTAAGACTGATATGGGATAATCTACTGGTAAAAATCAATTAAATTACTAATACTGTTTAAATATCTATAAATTTCATAATTATAACCATAATAATAACCTATTCTAACATAATAAATAATATGCCATGGCTGTTCATAGTAAACCTAAATAAGTATGCACCTACTTGTATAGGTACCTATTTGACATTTATAAATAGAACGTATTAAATTATTGTAATCTATGTAAATTACAAAAGAACTTGAGATAACGTTTAGGTTATAAATGGTTTTAAAATTATTTTAAATGAAAAATATTAATTTGTAGTTTTTAGGTAGATACTTATTCTGCGTACCTATAGCTAAATGTTTTTTAATTACAAACCAATTTAGTAGTTGTAGGTAGGTATTTGTTATATTTTTACTTGAAAATAGAATGTGTTAACATTCACAATTTCACACACGTTAAACATGAGTTATTATTTTTTTATTTCCAGTACCTATTTGTGTTGTTCCACTGAAAAAGTGTAGAAAGTATTTCGTTATAAATAAATCCATTAAACGAACGATTATGTATACAAATTGCGTAACTTTAAATGACCATTGTATACAAATGCCGTTTGTCGAGATTTTGTAGTTGATATTATAATACTTATAGTAGGATTCGTATACACGTAAGAGTAAATTTGATGATCCACATTATTCAAAAGTGAATTACATTGGTATTTAGATTTCGTTCATGTCTTAGACCTAAGTAAGTCGGCACTAACATTTAATTAATCGAAAAGCACAATTTGGTCCAAATTACCATCTTATGATAAATTTAATTATAATGTATACCTATATATTTATGTAAAATATAATGTAACATCACTATAACAATAACAAAACAATTTTGTTTTATGTTAGTCTTAACGCTAACGTACATTCCATCAGCCCCCCACCCCCAAGTTGGAAATTTGTTCTTTTTTACTCCAATCATTTGTGTGAATTTGTGGGAACACTTTTAAAATTTATACGATACTGGTTTTTCGACAAATTAAAAAAAAATTGCAGGCTGAAGAAATTTTCCATGCCCCCTAAGTATAAAAATAATCAGTTTTTTATTCTTGAGGTGGCGCTTGGAAAATGACAAAAATCACACAAATTTATAACAAAATAAAACAACAATTTTCCAACTTGGGGAGGGGAAGGCTGGTGAATTGTACGTTTAATTCCATCAATATAAAGTACTTAGTTTTAACGTTTGTATGTAATTATTATTTCAAGTGCCTAATTGTACCAATTTAGCTACACATATATTTTAAACACAAGCATACTTTATATGTATTAATTTGGGTTTACCTTTATTTTATGATCTTTCAACAGTTTATAAAAAAAAACATAATATATAATTTTTTATAGGAGGCTTGTTTATTCATACATTTTTACTATTACAAAATTTGATATTACAAATTGTTATTCATTTTAGAAGGCTTCAACAACAATGATTTTTAGCCTACAAATGAAATCACTTTTATTCTAGTCAATATTCAAAATTTTTTTTTGTATAGGTATAGTTAATTAATTAATTAATTATAATGAGCAGTTAATTAGTTAGTAATCAGTACTTAAACTTTAGATGCGTGGAGTAGTGTAGTCATAGTAGTGGTCAACGGAAATATGTTGATTCAGTACTTATATTCAAACTTTAAATACTACTTAAAAATAGACAATTAACTACTCGTTCGAAATTACATTTCTAGGTATATGTATCGGAATTCTGAGTAAGTACTTCGAAAAATATTGTGCTTGCCGCTTGGGTCTTAGGAATATGGAATTAAAAATTAATGTTGTCATTCAAAGAAGTAAAAATAAAAATTTGTTTTACAATAACATCAAAATATTATGTTAATCAAGGTTAGATTTTTCAAAATAACTAGTGTGGACATTGAAATGGATCATCTTTTATGACTATCAAACAATTTTTTTTGTAATAAAATAATACAATATGGTTTATGACTACCAACCACATAATAAATTGTATATTATGTTTATTTTATAATAATTATTGCATAAAAAGAATAACTTAAATAGTTTGTGATGAGTATCTATTGGAGGTTACCTATTGGCTATAAAATTTATTTAGTATAAATATTTACCTAGGTATTTAAAAAACTACGCTTCAGTTTATCTTTGTTAATATTTTAATTAGTACTAATATATTGGTATAGTTATATTTTCGTACTTTCATCATAAAATTTCATTAAAATAATGAATGGTTTCCATTATGATAAGTTACACACATTTCAAGATGACCTCGAGACCTCGAAGCACAAGTGCAGAGTCTAATAGATAACATGTAAACCTGTAAACTGAACGTATTCAAAACAGTTATTTTATCTTCTATTGTTTGGTGGTCAATAATCCAGAATAATATGTGTGTTTAATAGTACATGCAATATTATATTATGATATTATATTGTATTATATTTGTGTAATGATCAAATTTCACCTACCAATACAACTTACGAGTCGAATCAATTCGAATATGTTAATCAGATTTGAATATTCTATTTAAATACAATTCTACTCTAATCCTTACATTATTTATAAATTATAATGTAACTTTTCGTTTGTGTAATTGAGCAAGGTACAAAATATTCCTATACAATATAGTTATTACTTCCATGATATCAACAGAAAACTTAAGGATTTTTTTACGTTTGGAACTTGAGGATTGTAAATACATAAATATAAATAAATGTATGTAGTACTGTTTGTAGTTTTATAATTTGTTATGTTAGTAATCAATGATTATTTTATATGGATCATTAATTATTGTCACTGTCTATATTCCGCTGCACATATAAATTGTTATAATTAAAATACCCACTTTATATAGAAAACATACTAATTACTTATTAGGTACATCTACTTAAAACTTAAAAGTAATAGTATTGTAAGTTACTATTAAAATATTTAAACCAGTTAGATGATATAAAAGTGCCATATCATACATTCATACTTATAATAGAAAGAATACTCAATACAAGAACAATATAATTATAATTTATTATAATTTATAGGTACGTATCCAATATTTGGAACCAACAATTATTTTATAGTTCATTAATTTTAGCCTTAATATTTTTTTAAATAATGCAGTATAACTTTATAAACTTACAGCTTTTAAGTCATAGATTAATTAAAAAAATTTAAATTCGGCATGATGCTATGAATTTAACATCTAAATGTCTAATAATTTGATTATGATTATATCAAAAAGGTTACTTTAATAATTATATATTTTTGTAACATTGTTATGATAATTTACTGTTGTATTTTTATTTTACATTCTATAGAATACTTATTGAAATGTACAACCCATTTCATATTAGAAACTATACCTAATATTATTTTACTACACTTGTATAGTTAAAACTTATTA